GCTTTCACTGAAGTAAAGTGGACGCCCCTGAACTTGTTTGAAAAAGCCAAAGAGATGGGCTGGGTAGTGCTAGCCAGGCTCCCAGATGCCGCGCAAGTGGCACCAACGGAACTACAGGCGTACTCGCAGTGGGGCAGCGAGGAAGAGCGCAGGGACCCGCCCCGGGCGTCTTGTAGCCGGTCCGAGGCGGGGTCTGAGTGTGTGTAACACTGCGGATGCTGCGGGGGAGCGGGTGCGGCAGGCTGGATGTACCTGATGGCCTCAGTCTGCTTTTGGGCAGCTGAGAACTGCTGGGCACAGTTCTCCACCGTGTCGCCGAAAAGGCCGATCTGGGATACGGGGGCGTTGAAGAATCGTGTCTTGTCCGTCTCGTGCATGTCGGCCAGACACAGCCAGAAATGGCGCTCCTGGACCACCATAGTGGACATCACACGACCCAGAGACTGCGCTGTAAACTTCGTCGCTCGTAGCGTGAGGTCCGTCGCGGTGCAGAGTTCTCTGAGAACTTCCGGGTCATGGCCACCCTCGTGCAAGTCCCACAGTGCCTTGGCCTGGTGCACTTGCAACAACGCCGAAGCGTGTAAGGTGGAGGCAGCTTCTCCACAGGCCGTATAAGCACTACCGATCAGAGCCGACGAGTGTCTACAGGCCCGGGAGGGGAGCAACGGCATGCCCCGCCAAGTGGTAGTGGCATTTGGACACAATTGCATCGCAACCAACCGCTCTACCTGGGGAACTTCCGTGTACCCCTGTGCTGTGCCATCATCAAGGGTGGTTAAGGATGATGAGCCACTGGGGCCATTTCTGGCAGTGAAAAGATGCCGTCCATGTCCCAGTGAGCCCATCATGCACCTCCAGGAAGAAAGGCACTAGGGTGGGGCCCTGAGAACCAGCGCGAGCCACCCCGAGAAACCAATCGTCCAGCCTCGAGGGCTCGGTGGAAGATTCCACTCGAGTCCGACACTCTCGGCGGCCCGGGAAAGCATAGCCATCATTTCCAGATCCGCGTCCGGCACCTGGGCGGCAGCGCTGACGGATCTTCCTCCCCAGAAAGGTCTGGCTCACCCTGCGATGCAGTGATCGACATCCAATCGTCGGAGGGAGCCTCGAAAGATACAGGTGGTACCCTTTTTGAGGGTCCAGCCTGCTCTCTCGACAGCCCCACTGGTTTCGAAGTGCCGGCAGACGGAGGAGCCCTCGGAGGTTAGCTCCTCATAGGGGAACGATAGAACCGCTCGGCTCCGAAGTGAAAAGCTGAATATGAGCTGCAGATCCCAGGCGAGATCCCAATTTGTCGGTCATCCGACATGACGTCGAGAGTGACCGACTGAAAGGGAACTCATCTGTTTAACTGTGCATTTATTGAATGAGCACTCTGCTACGTCCGAACTGATTTAATATATTCACTGTATTTTATATTTAATAATTTTCTCTTTAACTGTTTTAAATTCATTTTAAATACATTTTTTAATAATTTTAAGTGTTTAAATTTTTATTGTTGTGATTATTTTTTTATGATTATTTTACTTCCTTTTATGTAAAGCACTTTGAATTACCATCGTGTATGAAATAACTATGTGTATGCTATAGAACTAAACTTGCCTTGCCTTGCCTTTAATGAAAGATCAAAAAAAATTTCCACAGCCGCCTTTGCTCATATTTACCAATGGTGCCAATATTAGTGGATGGCACTGTATTTGCTCGCTTTCTAGGCTGCGTATAATCCATTCAGAATTTGAATTAGTTTTGTTTTTCGTGCTTTTAACAGGACCAACGGGTGCATACCTTGTACATGTGGCAAAGTTTTAGGAGTGACATATATCCCGTGTCTGGCCTTCATATAAATGTGGGATTCACTTTCAAAATTGCAGTGATTGGTTGATTGCTTATCACTACAGTTTGTCAAAGAACAATATTTGTCAAAATTGGCGTGTATTACACGATGTAAATGCAGACTAATAGATTAATTGAAAAATATTAGAATTTTTATATCAAAATATTTTGTCTGATGAAGAGCCTGCCTGCTCGAAACGTCACACACGCTATTCGTTTTTTAAAGGGGTCATTTGATGTTGCTAAAAAGAACATTATTTTGTGTATTTGGTGTAATGAAATGTGTTTATGCGGTTTAAGGTTAAAAAAACTCATAATTTTTTATATACATTTTTATATATTATTTATATATGTTTCTCCTCTATGCCCCACCTTTCTGAAACATGTCGATTTTTACAAAGCTCATCGGTCTGAAAAGCGAGGTGTGCTCTGATTGGCCAGCTATCCAGTGTGTTGTGATTGGCCGAATACCTCAAGCGTGTGACGGAAATGTTACGCCCCTTACCAAACCCAGACTGGACTCCGCTTCGTCCACAGTGAAAGCCGATCCGGCGATCCACAGCGCGAAGTTGATGTATTTCCTCAGTGACCAGCACGGATCAGCTCTAGGCATGATGAAGTGCCAAACAAACAAAGTAGTTCTCTTTCAGTCGGTCACTACGAGTCACGTCGTGATGTGTCCATTCCCTCAACGAGGGTTACATACGTAACCGAGACGTTTCGCTTTCACAACGAAACACACAGCATCTCCATGACATGGCGGCGGTATAAACAACAATACTATAGCAAGAATAAAAGTTACGCCTTCTTTCTTTGCGTGAACATTTGGGCGGTGTTATGCAAATCTTCCCACATCGTGACGTAGACATGTGGGGGCGTGTTAGAACGAGCCGTTTTAGGTAGGCGTGGTTGACTTAACTTTTATAAAGAATATCTCTTTGGATTTGAGACTTTAGTTTTTGCAACTTTACAGATCTTTTTTATGCACCAAGAGCTTGTAACACTTCAAAGAGAAAGGAATAATTGAAATCACAACATATGCTTTTGGAGCTTTGGTGTTGCCGACTTTACATTTAAAAAATTGTTCCACTTGTTTCTTAGTCGAGCACCCAGTTGAGATCGATGTGCGTGCTTTTGCCTGCTTTATGTCTGTCTATCTGTCTGTCTGTCTGTCTGTCTGTCTATCTATCTATCTATCTATCTATCTATCTATCTGCCAGGGCTGCCAACTCTAATTTTCTCACATAGTCAAAAGCACCCTCAGTTAAAACTGTAATAATAGGATATTGGCAAACATATATTTGGTATATATGAGTGCATATATTTGTTTTTGCACTCTGGAAAGTATAAAAAGTTTCTATTTACAAAGTGTTTTTGTAGCATTGAGCGATATAGCCAATCACAGACATGTCTGTTGTTTTCTTGAACTCCTCTGATTGACCATCGTCAATCAGATGTGTTAAAAGAGGTGTTAAAAGGCTGCGCTGTGTCTGTGTTTGCTGAATTAAAGTCACCTTTGGTTATATAGTGCTTTATACAATACAGATTGCGTCAAAACAGCTTTACAGTATTAAACAGGAAAATAATGTGTTGATAATGCAAGAGGATGATAGTAAACACTCAATTTTCCAGTTAAAGTCAGTTCATCATTGTTTCAGTGATTTCATCGTCCAGCTTAGTTCAAATAATATCTGTGCAATCAACAATATTGCCAGAAATGAACTGTCCCCAACTAAGCAAGCCAAAGGTGACAGTACAAGGAACCAAAACTCCATTGGTGACAGAAATGGAGAACAAATAAAACCTTGGGCGGTTTATTGATGTTTAACCCTCTGGTTCTCCTTATTTGGGGGGTCACACTTGTGGTCTTCACAGTCAAAAGTGACCGGACACCTGAAATTTATCTTTTTTTCGCCCCAGTAAAATCAATGTAATATATTTTTGTTCAATAATATATATTTTTTTTTTGTATTTTGAGATAATTTCATGGCACTAATTCATATTTATGCAATAATTATGATGAATTTCTGCCCATTCAAAATAATACAAATGTTACATTGTACAAACGTATATTTTTATATTTCTTTTCAATGAATGCAGTATTTCATGTTAAAATAGAGTCAGTGCCTTTAAAATCCCATTTTTGAAGCCAGATTAGTGCCATCTGGTGGGAGTAAAATAAGAAAAACAGCTGCAATTCTATGGTTTAGTCCATAGATTTCTAAATAGCTCTATATAAAAGGCCTATAAATTCTCTAATTGTTTTTAGACAAAGACTTATTAAGTTGTGGGTTTGGATATATATTTAGACATTCTCAAAGACAATTTTTTGTAAAGGTTTAGATTTTTTTGCTTTGAAATGTTGATTTGAAGTGTCAGCTTTTGAAATAGTATTACTGCAGTCAAACCTGAACACAGAGAAAGCATTTTGTTACACAAAACATTAAAATTCTATAAAAATGTAACAAAAATGAACAGAACTGTTTATTCAGAGCTTAATCCTTCTGGGTCTGATCTGATTTCAATCTCTTATTTCAGTTTTCTGACTCGTTTTGGCTGTATAGTTATAGCCATACCAATTAATTTGAGTGTGTATAATTTTGTATGTTTGTGTGTGTCTTTGAGTGCGTGTAAGTGAGTTTGTGTTTGAGTGAGTGTGTCTCCCTCAACCCCTTCCTTGCTGTCCACTTTCTTACTGCATTGTAGTTGAATTATTGCTTTTATTTGACATACTTACTGTGTTACAGTCACACCAGTTCATAGGTGTGTGTGTGTATATGTGTGTGTACTCATGTGTGTGTGTGAATGGATGTGTTGGTTTTGCACTCTTGATGTTTTAGTTTCACCCCGTCATTGCTGTGTACTTTTTTTCTGCATTGTGTCAGATTTGTAGATTGTACACACAAAAATTCTAAATTGAAAATTGGCACACACTCCCAACAGCGGAATCTATTGCAGTCTTAACAAAAAAAAATAAAAACAAAGCACACAATGTAATTAACATGAAGACTAAAATAATTAACTTAAGCATGTCAACATAATTTGCATGTCCTCGTTCATCAGAATTACACTAAAATGCATTAGCAACAAGCATCAACCTCAATAGCTCTGTTAAAGTGCAAGAATACTGACGGTAAATAATGATTTGATTTTGCTATGGCTTGCAGGCCGAGCACCAGTGCTGTCGAATATCCCATCATCCATGTGGAAAACTCCACCCTTGGTGACATCAGTGATGATGACAGGAACTCTGGGGAGTATTATAGCGGAGACGAGTTTAATGAGGATGATGTCATGCTGGCTACAGACAGGTATTGCTAGAAAACGCTTTTCAGAAAGTGTATATCAATAGTAGCCGTTATCTTCATTTTCTCTTGGTTCCTCTTGAAGGTCATACTTTCAGGACACTTTGAGTGATGGTGCTCCAGCTGGACAGCAGGATACGTGTGAATGCGTCTGTGATGATGGTGAGCAGCTCATATCCCAGCAGCCCCAGAGGTCCTCAAAACGACTCCTGATGTCCACAGCTCAATGTGAGATATTATAAAATAATCATGAACTTTTTACAGTGTCACACTGAAACTAACAGAAAAGTGAGAACTAGCATTACTGTGGGAATAAACATCAGACTGAATGGTTCCTCAACAAGCTGTAATCATAAATGGATATATGGTTACATTGATCTATTATGGTACGGGTCCTTCACTTCCAAATATTCAAAGCATTAATGTCAGTGTTCGAGAAATATATTTTCTACCAATATTATGGTGGCCACATCGGAAATGTTTAAGGAAACTGCAAAGTGATGAACATGGCTGGGACATATTTATCAATGTTTGCTCTGAAAGGTGAGATTTTTGTTTATTTGAACATCCTGATCATACAATTCCTGTCAAGTCCTACCCTTGTTCAACTTCCAAAGGACACAAGGACAACTCAAATTTCCGACTCAATCACTTTTAATTTTCTTTTTTGCTTTGTCAGTTGATTCAGTAAATTAGGTTGTAAACCTTTAAAGACAGAGAAACAAATGTTACCATTTTAACTAAACATTTTAATTAAACAGTTTCATATGTTTTAGTAAAGCTTTAACATTTAACAGAATTTTTACATTTTTAACTTGTACTATTCTTTTGTATCTTATACATTTAAATTTTTTTTTCCAAACTCACCATGGTTATTTTAGCACGAACTCATTTAATACAATCAATAAAGTCAATGCTGCAATGTGTTTCTTAACCAATCTACACAGCAGTTAAACATACTTGAACATATTAAGCAGCATTTCAAACACCATGAAATTAAATAAAACATTTCACTGACCATTGGCGTCTTTGGACTGAACCTATTAGTGAACTTGGAGCGTCTTCTCTCTGAAGTTTCTTTTCTGAATGAATGAGAACCTCCATGTTTTTACAGGTGCTCTTAATCAGTGACAATGACTGATCCTGTGATAAGCAGCCAGTTTGCTGCTGCTGGTGCACTCTGGGAAGTGTAGTTCTTTGAGACCCATTTCTGAGATTTAGCTTAACAATTCCTAAGCTTTTTTGTTGTTGTTGGATATTATTAGCCTAAATAAGCTGATGAAATACACAATTATTGTAACTGTGAAAGGTTATGTAAGCTGGCTATCTTTTACAACTTCTCTTCCTTGTCTATTAAAATTAATTAATTAATAAATACATTTATTATATAAAAAAATAAATAAAAACAAAAATGAAAATGGTTGCTATAGTTAAACCATGGTAACCTGCACAAATTAACCATGGATTTACTACACTATCCATACAGGTGCATCTCAATAAATTAGAATGTCGTGGAAAAGTTCATTTATTTCAGTAATTCAACTCAAATTGTGAAACTCGTGTATTAAATAAATTCAATGCACACAGACTGAAGTAGTTTAAGTCTTTGGTTCTTTTAATTGTGATGATTTTGGCTCACATTTAACAAAAACCCACCAATTCACTATCTCAACAAATTGGAATACTTCATAAGACCAATTAAAAAAAAACATTTTTAGTGAGTTGTTGGCCTTCTGGAAAGTATGTTCATTTACTGTACATGTACTCAATACTTGGTAGGGGCTCCTTTTGCTTTAATTACTGCCTCAATTCGGCGTGGCATGGAGGTGATCAGTTTGTGGCACTGCTGAGGTGGTATGGAAGCCCAGGTTTCTTTGACAGTGGCCTTCAGCTCATCTGCATTTTTTGGTCTCTTGTTTCTCATTTTCCTCTTGACAATACCCCATAGATTCTCTATGGGGTTCAGGTCTGGTGAGTTTGCTGGCCAGTCAAGCAGACTAACACCATGGTCATTTAACCAACTTTTGGTGCTTTTGGCAGTGTGGGCAGGTGCCAAATCCTGCTGGAAAATGCATCTTCAAAAAGCTGGTCAGCAGAAGGAAGCATGAAGTGCTCCAAAATTTCTTGGTAAATGGGTGCAGTGACTTTGGTTTTCAAAAAACACAATGGACCAGATGTCATTTCACCCCAAATCATCACAGATTGTGGAAACTTAACACTGGACTTCAAGCAACTTAGGCTATGAGCTTCTCCACCCTTCCTCCAGACTCTAGGACCTTAGTTTCCAAATGAAATACAAAACTTGCTCTCATCTGAAAAGAGGACTTTGGACCACTGGGCAACAGTCCAGTTCTTCTTCTCCTTAGCCCTTAGCTCTGACATTGTCTGTGGTTCAGGAGTGGCTTAACAAGAGGAATACGACACTGTAGCCAAATTCCTTGACACGTCTGTGTGTGGAGGCTCTTGATGCCTTGACCCCAGCCTCAGTCCATTCCTTGTGAAGTTCACTCAAATTCTTGAATCGATTTTGCTTGACAATCCTCATAAGGCTGCGGTTCTCTCAGTTGGTTGTGCATCTTTTTCTTCCACACTTTTTCCTTCCAATGAACTTTTTGTTAACATGCTTGGATACAGCACTCTGTGAACAGCCAGCTTCTTAGGCAATGAATGTTTGTGGCTTCCCCTCCTTGTGAAGGGTGTCAATGATTGTCTTCTGGACAACTGTCAGATCAGCAGTCTTCCCCATGATTGTGTAGCCTAGTGAACCAAACTGAGAGACCATTTTGAAGGCTCAGGAAACCTTTGTATGGGTTTTGAGTTGATTAGCTGATTGGCATGTCACCATATTCTAATTTGTTGAGAGAGTGAATTGGTGGGTTTTTGTTAAATGTGAGCCAAAATCATTACAATTAAAAGAACCAAAGACTTAAACTACTTCAGTCTGTGTGCATTGCCTTTATTTAATACACGAGTTTCACAATTTGAGTTGAATTACTAAAATGAATGAACTTTTCCATGACATTCTAATTTATTGAGATGCACCTGTAGTTTAACCATGATATTTGTACAACTGTGGTCATACAAATGATAATCAATACGCCAAAAGATGCTTAATTTTCATTTTGTTGGGGTAATTTTGTCGTGGTCTGTGTTACTTGAGCGTTTCTGTATTTGTTTGTGTTGTGAGCATTTGCAGCGCGTTTCTGGTTGTGTTTTGAGTATTTGCAGCACATGTGCTGTCAAACTGATGAAGATGTTTTCATAATTTGCTGGTGCTTTTTCTATTTGCATGTGTTTTCTAAAGTTGCAACACATTGAGCTCTCGGCCACCGTACAATATATATAAAGCATTTATATGTCAATCTAAGAATACATTCAACATAGGTCACATTTGAAGAAAAACTATTTGTTGTCTATAACATGAGCAAACATATAACACGTTTTTAAAAAATTCAGCAATGCACATACTTTATTATATTACAATTTCTAAAAAAAAAACTATATTAAATCATAAATCTAGTTTTGATCTCTAGTAGTAGGATTATAGTGGCTAGTCTTCTTTAAAAACTTTCTTTAGCCCCTTAGAGGTTAGTGGAGGAGTCCTTATATACTAATACAATTTCCTTCTATACTTAAATCGGAATGTTTTGAAATACAGAATAAATAAAACTTAATCTCTTCAAGTTCATATTTCGGTTAGTGCACAAGAATCTAAATATGGTTCCTATAAGAATATTCCATCCACATTTGCATTTACAGTTCTAAAAGAACTTTACAGTTTCTCAAAAAAATTTAAAAAGAAAAGAAAAAGGCAACAGTGACGCCAGAAAAAAATTGTCTTTGAATTTTGTTCCGGTTCAGCCTTCAGGGCAAAGATTTCTGACAACAGCTATAGTTTATTGTACTCCACTCCATTATAATAAATATGCATCTATTGATGTATGTGCATTCTTCCATACAGCCTCTCACAAACCCGCTTTCCATTTTGAGTGTCTGCGCAAACAGAACAGCCAAGATGAGATTCCCCTGCATCCAACAGGCCTACCGCAGCATCAGGTGATAATGACATGACCCCCTACACTATCACCAACATAACAGATTAAGAGCAGGGGTGAGACACGACCTGTGACGTGTATGTAAAGTGCAGTGTTGGGAAGGTTACTTATAAATGTAATAGGTTACAGATTACAAGTTACCCTATCTAAAATGTAATAAGTAGTGTAACTATTTCAATTACTTTATTAAAGTAATGTAACTGATTACATTTGATTACTTTTTGATAACTTTTATACATTTCTAAGGAATGTTTTAAACTGTTAATCATTTTCAGACATGTAAAGCAGGCAGGGTTAACCATACAGTAACATCACTTGAATTAAGATTATAATAATTTAATATTAAAGCACAGCCACCACAAAATCAGACTTTAGCATCGCTTTTTACTTTGAGATTGTTCTAAGGTTAAATACAGATTTAAAATCATAACAAGATATAGTTTAATAGCTATGATACTGTTTTTGAAATCAAATCTTTGCATAGCTGTGACAGGAAACACTGGCATCTAACAATGCTCTGGAAAAAAATCAGTTAATCTTAAAAAATAAAGCATATATGAATACATCAGCGCAAATAGGGAAAAAAACAAGCATGTGTCCTATTCTGTGTCCTAAACTCCTGAAACGTTGGAGTTTGATATTTTAGAGCAGTCAGTGCAATATGGGAAAGAAATCAATCAAATGTGACCCTGCAGCACAAAAGCAGTGTTAAATCGCTGGGGTATATTTGTAGCAATAGCCAACAATACATTGTATGGGTCAAAATTATTCCTTTTTCTTTTATGCCAAAAATCATTAGGATATTAAGTAAAGATCATGATCCATAAAGATATTTTGTAAATTTCTTACTGTAAATATATCAAAACTTAATTTTTGATTAGTAATATGCATTGCTAAGAACTTCATTTGGACAGCTTTAAAGATGATTTTCTCAATATTTAGATTTTTTTTGCACCCTCAGATTCCAGATTTTCAAATAGTTGTATCTCAGCCAAATATTATCCTATCCTAACAAACCATACATCAATGGAAAGCTTATTTATTCAGCTTTCAGATGATGTATACATCTCAATTTCGAGAAATTGACCCTTATGACTGGTTTTGTGGTCCAGGGTCACAAATCTGTTTGTGTGTGAAAAAAATTCAGATGTAACCCCCTTTGTAATCGTTAACATTTTCATAAGTAACTGTGCTTTCATTACACTTTTTTTCTCAGTAACTGTAAGAGATTACAAGTGCATTTATTTTGTAATTCAATTACGTAATTCCGTTACATGTAACTTATTACTCCCCAACACTGGTAAAGTGGCATCATGTTTTCTTGTGCAGGTGAAGACGCCGACTGGACAAGAATCGAGTAGAACACGACTCTCTCCGACTCGCTCCATCCGCTCCTGGGTCACGCCTCCGGCCACGCCTCCACCCTACACCCCTCTGATTCAGACCACGCCCAGCGCTAGCAGCACTCCGGGATTGGTTCACAGGGGCTTCTGGAATTCCCAGCAGGCCTCTGATTGGTCGACACGTTCTCCCTCACCCTCGCTCCTGAAGGTTCCCCCCCGACTAAGCGGACATCACCTGCAGCAGCGGAGCAGCGCTCAAAGCCTGGTGGAAGCCGTGAGTGATGCCGCTTGAGCGCCTGTTTACACCTGGTCACTTCATGCGTTTTCTCTGATCAGATTTCTATCTGATTTGTTCAAACGTTTCCATTTACACTTGGCCACATAACCGTGTCTTCGCAAAACGGATATAAATCAATTCCCATGCTATATGCACATTTATAATGAACGGAGTTCACGTCAACGAAAGCAACAGATATGTGCTGCATTTGATTCATTATCAGCTAATTTCAAGATCAAAGACCGCAATAGGAGAGAGCGCGGCATCAGCACTGGAAAGATACTTTAGTCTCACTACTTTTAATGAAGATGATTGTGTGTTGAGCGTCTGCGACTTACTTTCAGATTCATTCGCGACAGTTTGCTCATCGGCTTGCTGAAGAGATGCTCAGCTACTCATCCGTAGCGATGCGTGTTGCATTAGCGCTGTCATATCTGACTATAACATGCAATTTAGCCTATAAAACGCTCTCGCACATTTATTATTTTAATATTTTGGGAGGAATAAAATGTGCATATGTGGTTGCAAATGCATCAACAACCAGATGCATTTACACTTGTGATATAAATCAATTCCCATGCTATATGCACATTTATAATGAACGGAGTTCACGTCAACGAAAGCAACAGATATGTGCTGCATTTGATTCATTATCAGCTAATTTCAAGATCAAAGACCGCAATAGGAGAGAGCGCGGCATCAGCACTGGAAAGATACTTTAGTCTCACTACTTTTAATGAAGATGATTGTGTGTTGAGCGTCTGCGACTTACTTTCAGATTCATTCGCGACAGTTTGCGCATCGGCTTGCTGAAGAGATGCTCAGCTACTCATCCGTAGCGATGCGTGTTGCATTAGCGCTGTCATATCTGACTATAACATGCCATTTAGCCTATAAAACGCTCTCGCACATTTATTATTTTAATATTTTGGGAGGAATAAAATTTGCATATGTGGTTGCAAATGCATCAACAACCAGATGCATTTACACTTGTCCAGTTTCATCTGGAATGCGGCCCAGACCTCATAATAAATGCGTATCGAAAGCGTTTCGGAGGGCATTTACACCTGGTCTTTTCACGATCGGATAGCTATCTGATCTGGGAAAATGCATGAAGTGACCAGGAGTAAACAGGCCCTGAGAGTCAAGTCAAGTCGCCTTTGAAAAAATTATGTATATATATATATATATATATATATATATATATATACTTAGTCTGACCAGAGGGGAGAAAATGTCTACCAGAAAATCACACTGGCCAAGCTCGTATAACCTTATAATGCTCACCAAATATTTCACATTCACATTCTAGGAAATGTGTCTAGGATGTTTTAAACTAATGAAGCCCATTACTAGCTGGGAAATAACACCATGCTAGCTGAAATTTAGGATTAACAATTTAGGAAGAATTTTAATAAATATATCAAATCAGTTTAAAGAAATTTAAAAAAAAATTGCGTTTTCATGCCCAGTAATAATTGACTGCAGAGTGGACATGTTATGTATTATGCTATTAAGACTTCTGAAAATGCGGGAAAGAGAGAAAAGTACAGCGGGTAAAATAAGTATTGAACACGTCACCATTTTTCTCAGTAAATATATTTCTAAAGGTGCTGTTGACATGACATTTTCACCAGATATCGATAACAACCCGAGTAATCCATAATCCATACATACAAAGAAAAGAAAAGAAAACAAAACAAATAAGTTCAGAAATTAAGTTCTGTGTAATAAAATGGAATGACACAGGGGAAAAGTATTGAACACATGAAGAAAGGGAGGTGCAAAAAGGAATGGAAAGCCAAGACACCAGCTGAAATCTATCAGTAATTAGAAAGCAATCCTGCCCCTCTTCAGTGGAATTTAATATTAGCTGTTTCAGTCTCAACTGATGGCCTATAAAAAGGTGTCTCATGACCAACGTGTCACACAAGAAACATTTCATGATGGGTAACAGCAAAGAGCTCTCTCAAGACAAAACAAAACATACTGATGACATTTGTTACAGAAGGTTTTCTATACTTTTGCATGTTCCAGTGAGCAGTGTTGGGGCCATAATCTGGAAGTGGAAAGAACATCATTTCACCATAAACTAGCCACGACCAGGTGCTCCTCTCAAGATTTCTGACAGAAAGAATTAAAAGAATTATCAGAAGAATTGTCCAAGAGTCAAGGATCACTTGTGGAGAGCTTCAGAAAGACCTGGAATTAGCATGTCCAATTGTTTCAAAGAAAATAATAAGTACAATAAGTAAAGCACTCAACCGCCGTGGCCTGTGTACACGCTCACCACGCAAGACTCTATTGCTGAAGAAAAAGCATGTTGAAGCTCGTTTAAAGTTTGCTGCACCACATTTAGACAAACCTGTGAAATACTGGGAGAATATAGTCTGGTCAGATGAGACAAAAATTAAACTCTTTGAATGCCACAATACACACCATGTTTGGAGGTCAAATGGCACTCAAATCACCCCAAAACATCATGGTGTGGCACTGGCAAAATTCATATAATTGAAGGAAGGATGAATGGAAAAATGTACCGAGACAATCTTGATAAAAAGCAGCTGCCATCTACCAGGATGATGAAGATGAAACAAGGGTGGACATTCCAATACAACAATTGCTCATTTAGAAATATCGAACTTCACTTTTAAATAATCTTTATTTCAAAGCGAAGCTGAGAAAAAAATTCTACAGGGATTCAAGTAGATCAGTCAAACTGCTCTCAAATAACAAACACGCAAACGAATTTGATGAAGAGCACGCCAAAATGCACGTGAGGTTATATCTCCACAAGGAGATTTAAGGCCCCGATATACTTCAAACAAAGTTCTTTTTCGTTCTTCGTTTGGGGGCAAAAAGTAGTTTGAAAAGGCTGAACGACGGTATACTGTTTTCAAACATTCCAACACCCCCGCGCTGCTGGAGGCGGGGTTTAGATTGAGTATGTAAATATGTGTATTCCCTAAACACAACAACCATGGCAGCTGTGAGAGAAGAACAGTTTCGTAAACATCTGGCAGTAGCATTGATCTATTCAATGGCAAAGAAAACGAGCAAGAACAAGCGATGTATAATGCTTTGCATAACTCCGGGTCGTTGACACCGTTTTTTTGCAGTTTCTTTCCAGGAATTAAATGCCTCCTCCGAAACTTTAAAGTCTGTCCGTGAGCGATCGTACAGGTGCGGATACATTTGTACCAGCTCAGCTATTCAACACTCCAGTGTATTCATGTTGCTCGTAGCTTGGTGGTGTTGTTGTTTTGGATGTTGTGCTCCTGTCTGACCTCTGTGGAATGAGTAATGAACCGGGAAAAAAAAATCTCACGTCAAAGAAGGTGGAGTTCCAGAACAACTAACACGCCCCCGAGTGCATAATCGCCACGGACCAATGTTAGCTCAAAGGTGTTTAGGAGCCAAAACCAACTCCCCCCAGTTTCGAACTGCCGAAGCGAACTCAAAACGAACTTCGCTTCGGCCTGATTTTGTTCGAAATTACATCATATCAGTTCGTTCTTCGATTTCGCTTGAAGTATATCGGGCCTTTACACTATATCGCACAGTCCCAGATTGGACTGCAAGAAAACTTGCGTCCATTGTTGACTATAGACAGGAAGGAGTCAAAAATAAAACCTGCTGCCTGACACCAGTGTTGGGCTAGTTACTCAAAAAAAATTATATATTACTTATTACTAGTTACTCCTTTAAAAAAGTAATATTATTACTTATTACTTTCTGGCAACAGTAAGTAGGTACACTACTTTTCTTTCACACCCCACATAAGTTTCATAGGCCTATCCCCATAAAATTCTTCTCAAATGTTTCTGGCAATATATTTCTGCCTCATCATTTGACCATAATCCACATTGGATCGCAGTCAGAAGTTATTACAAACACTCAGTGGTGATTAATAGTAACGTTTTAGTAAAAGTGTTGTATTAATCTCATTAATTGTCACGTGTAGCTTGAAGCTAATTGTAGCTATAGTTTCTCTGTTACCCATATACGGATTATATTCCATGTATTTTATTCAAAATAATCATAAGTCAAAGTTCATAAGAAAATGTTTCATTCTCTAAAAAGATTTTATACGGTTTATCAGGATCAGAGGGATGTGGGCAAGCCATGTAATGCCACGACTTACACATCAGTGTTCAGATCATCTTTTCTCCTCACAAAATCAATGTAATGGCAATATTTCCGTTCACTGAATGTAAGCTTTTTCATATTCCATATGCCTGCTGCTCTGGTGACTTCACGTGCCTTTGCAAGTTGTGAAAATAAATCTAGCAATTATTGGATCGTTGGACTTTAAATCAGTAGGGGTTGAGGCATCACAAGTAACTAAGTAACTAGCTGTTTTAGGGATAGTAACTGTAATATTATTACTGAAATCTTATTAATAATTAGTTACACTACTAGTTACTGCAAAAAGTTATATTGTTACTGTAACTAGTTACTAGTAACTAGTCACTGCCCGACACTGCCTGACACAATGTCTTTTGTTATAGGTGATGATATCTGGTGGATTGGGCAAATATGCCAAGGATCCAAAGTTTGTGACGGCGACAAAACACGAGATTGCAGATGCTTGCGACATGACAATTGATGAGATGGAAAGTGCTGCTAGCAATTTACTGAACGTGACGCTAGGCCACGGGCCGGAGGCAGACGAGGCGGGCCTGTGTCAGAACAATCTGCGTGACTACAGCGATGAGGAGACGGACACGAGCAATAAACGCGAGGAGGATCTCGCAGACGAAATGATCTACGTCTCAGTATTATAGTAACGAATTCAAAATGCCCCAACGAAACTAAATAATGTAGAAAATGAATGAATGAGGTAATTGTGCCTTTAAATGGGAGTGTCATGGAGCGATCTGCTGGCTTACATGAACCAATAGATTTGGACCTTTTCATTTAGTTAGCAAACCTTTTGATATCTTGGGAAATTTCCAGCAAGATCCAAATGTGATGGCATTGCCAAAAGTGTTTTCCTCTGGACCTTTTAAGATCCCTAACCAACCTAAAAGCCAAAGTCCACTTGGTCAAAGGTACCAAACAGCATTTCTTCAGACCCATTCAAGACACTTTCACCATTTGAGTCAAGAGTTTTATTCACATACAAGGCTATTACAATGGTAAAAACTTCACAATGATAACTCCTAGTTGGGTAACTGAACTACGTGGATTTTAAGTCTTTCAAATTAAATGTCGCACAAATGTGCAAGACATGATTGAATGTCTTTTTCCTGTTTTTCCACATTCAAAGTGTCTTGGTTGGTGACATTTGCCATCTTTGACTTCAAATCTGCTGCATCACATCTTTGTGTGGCATACAGAAACGCAAATTTAAATTATGCACGAATTACCGGTATATGGACTATGGAGCTCTGAACTTCATTTGTGTTTCATAGAGAAAAAAAGGCTTGAAACAACAAGGTGAGTGAATAATTTTTGGATGAATGTAAGATAACATAAATGGAAAGGCGAATCATCCATACTCCTGTTCTCACATGATGAAATAATGCAAGATGCCAGTCTTGGTGGTGGAAGAAGAGTACATTTATATTATTTCCCTACACCGGTCTGAGTAAATATGGCTGTAATATGCACAAACTAAGGCATTTAAATAATCACTAATTACACTGCAGGTCAATATAATATGAAACCATTCATGTTCACATATTAATGCATCACAGATTCATAATTTTAAGTGGACATGTCATTGACTTCAGGTACTCAAACAGATCTTGCAAAGGGCTTTACACAGCAGCACCGTCCAAAAGCTGTTTCTGCTTCCTTTATTGGGAGCAAATCTCACTGCTGTCTGACTCTCTGAACTCTCAGAGACACTGCGATGGAAACAGCAGCTTCTTTCTCTAGTAGTAGTTGTTACTAAACATATCAAAACAATGAACGCTCGAGTCATAGTCGACCTGAGTGTGTGTTACTGTTAGTGTGAGCATATCTGCCTCGATACTGATTAAACCGCTTTGGTCCTCCTGTTCCTTCAGCTGGTCACACAGTAACTTGTTTTTATTTCTTATTTATTTTCTCTCTCATTGGTTCTGTAATTGATAATGAGGTCTACATCTCACACAACGGATGACGTTTGGGCTTATATAAAATAATAAATATTCACCCAAACATGCTGTCATCATTTACTAACCCGAATGTTCGGTCCAAACCTGTATGGATACTCAAGTGTTCGTGATTCAAAAAGGAGAAGTGGTATAAAAGTATTATGAAAATAGTCCATACAGGTTGTGTGCTATATTGTTGTGGCTCAACAGCGTTGAACGAGGAACAGTCCAACATCAGCAGGCTATTTGATGGGATCGTAACATCGGCCCTAGCCGCTCCAGCTGTGTTCATGAATGTTCGATGTTAAGTTTGTGAACAAATCATTCTTTTGAGTCAGATCATTTCAATTCATTGACCCGGCTGAACTACTTTTATAATCTTTTTTTTATTAAGCTTCAAGGCAGATGTAACATCATACAGGTTCAGAGAGTAAATGATGACAGAATGTTGATTTTTGAGTCTGTAAAGAATAACGGATAATTTAGCACATGCTGTGTCTAAACTACTGTATGTTTGTCTTTGTGATGTTAAACTGTTTGATGTAAACCACCAACCTTTCCTTTCTAAATTTAGCCCTTAGAATAACTCTCAACTGCCTTTAAGATACTAGACATTAAAGAGGATCTATTTTTAACAAAATGTCTGATTACAAAGGCTTTAAAGTCATGCATGTTGAATGAATGGATAAATTATAACAGTGTTTTAATAGCAAAGCAAAACTGATTTCCTTTCATTTTGAAGGAACATATGGTTTCTGTCATAGTTTGAGAATTATCCCGATATGAACTAAAATAGTTATTTTTGTTTTTTTAAATGGTCTTTTACCTATAATTAAATAAAGAAGGTTTTCCTATGAATTAATTAGTAGAACAGTCCATTTCTCCTGTGCATTTTTACCCCTTGTTTCTGGAGAAAGCAGAATGAGAGCCGGCTCGCATTCCACAAGGTTGTAAATGTATCGGGTTACCATGAAACCAGGGTCTTGTTCGGCGTCCTGGGGTGTTACAAAGTATTTGTGAAATCTAGCTAACAAAATATATATTGTGTGTTGGAGTGGTCCAGACGCTACAAAATGATACATCATAAGATTGTGTGTAGATTACTGGCATTATTGCAATGAAGATGAAGGTCATTGTGTTGTGCGAATGATTATTTCAGGTCTTGCAAGTGTCAGTCATCTGCATGGGCAATATTTGGACATTTATGAGGACATTTAAATCAATCATCAGGAGACTTTTATAATTTAATACTTTTATTCTTTTTGAGAGGTACAGTTATTATTTAAAAGATAATCATCTGTTGTAGTGATTTTACAAGCATTTTCAATCTGTTAAAACTGGTCCACTGTTTGTTACATTCTTTTTCTTACTCTATTATAATTGAAATATTTAAAAAAATCCATTGTACCAGAATAAAAACACAAGTCTAAAGATTCTCTTTTTTTCTCAATGTAAACATTAAAGAGTTATTTGCATAGATACTTGGTTCCTACTGTAGGCTCAGCAGCTGAAATGTATTATTTCTGATTATTAACACATCATAATTGTGTCAGACTGATAGTGTGGAAATGCAAACTGGAAATATATATGCTGCAAATGGCTCTTCTTTAAAGTGTGTGATATTAGTACGTTTCATTAAGACACTTATGGAGGGAATCTCATGAAAATGATCAAGATCATGTCTGGTCATACTTCAATAAATGCATTAGCAATGATTCATTTTAATAATGCACTTCTGAATTTAAGACATACTGAAATCAGTCACTTTGTGGATGAAGCTAAGCTGCCTAAGACTGAAGTGTGGTTTGATCATGTGGCAAAATGATTCATTTAAACCAGGAAAATCTGGCCTCCCAACTGTTCCCATTATTTGAAAGTCTAAACACGTTCTCCTACATTACCATGGACGGCCAAGTCAAAGCCATCTTATCTCTGCGTTTCGAGAGTCGTGGGCCGGTAAACAGGAACTCCAGGGTCCTGAAGCCAGGGAATCCCTTTAATGGCATCCGCTGCCTTTTCAGCGATCATTATGGTGGGGGCGTTCAGGTTCCCGCTCAGCATGCTGGGCATAACGGAGGCGTCCACCACCCTCAGCCCCTGCAGACCGAACACACGCAGAGCAGGGTCCACCACCGCCCTGCTGTCCGAGGCGCTGCCCATTTTACACGTGCAGGACGGGTGGTAGGCACTGTCTGCCTTCTGCCGGATGAAAGCATCGATCTCTGCGTCGGATTGGACGGCGGGGCCCGGCTGCACCTCGGGGCCTCGGAAAGGGTCGAAGGCTTTTTGAGCAAAGATTTCCCGTGTGAGCTTGATGCATTCTCTGAACTCCAACATGTCTGTGTCTGTGGGACGTGAGGTGATGGAGAACATGAGGCAGTGAGAAACTACACAAGAATCAGTCAAAGCATATAATGTAGTGCTGTCAAACGATTAACCGCGATTAAATCGCATCCAAAATAAAAGTTTTAGTTTACATAATACAGTATATATATGTGTGTGTACTGTGTATATTTATTATGTATATATAAATACACACACATGCATGTATACATTTCAGAAAAATGTTCATATATTAAATATATTTATATATAATATAAATTATATGAACATACAGACTTAAATACATGTAAATATTTTCAAAAAATACACTGTGTGTGTGTATTTATATAGACATAATAAATATACACAATACACACATATATTATGTAAACATATACTTTTATTTTGGAATGCGATTAATCGCTTGACAGCACTAATATAAACAACTTCTGACCATTCAGGTTTAGCTACTAAGTTTCGCCTACGGTTACTGGGTTTCATCTCAATATGCTCAATATGTTTGTAGATTTTTCTTAATATAGAAGAATCTACAAACTTTTGACTGATATTGTCGTAAGGTTCTTAAACGAATTTGGCATTTAAAAAAGTAAGACAATGGACCTTTTTCACATTTCTGGGTTTCTCAGCAGCGGAAAGTGTCATAGTTGGGTAAATTTGAAGAGCAGTGAATGGGAGAGTACCACAAATATATTTTTTGCATTCCCATTTGCTCAAATAGCAAAAGAAAAACACCACGATAGTGTTTTCATGACTTTCAAAAAAAGGAAAAAAATTGAGAGAGACTGATATCGGCAGTCAGAAGAGAGAACGATGTCAAATTTATCGTCCCTCCCACATTAGAAACACCCTCGCATTAGCGTTAACTCGTTTTTATGTAATTTGATGCAAATGTGATATAATACAAAGTATAGTGTTATAAATGTACATACATTTAAAAAAAAATAATAATAATAATTATATATATATATATATATATAAACTTTCAAGGATTTACGATGCTGATGACCGTTAAATGCATCATCACAGTCTTGTGAAAAGGGTCTATTTAAAACGCACAAAAATTCAGACAGGAGGAAACTGAAAGTACTTGTATCACTGAACAATATTTGTTTCTAGACCGCAAAGTGCAGAATTGAACAGAATAACTATTGCAACACTTTTGAAATGTGAGAGAGATACATTTACCAAAACAAATTTCCATTAATAGCAAGAAATGGGAAAATCAGTGGGAAAGAATCCCTCTCTATGAGTGTGTTGGTTGGTTGGTTAATTATTATGCTCTAGCTAGAAAATGACAGCTGCACAAGTAGATTTTTAACTCTAATCACAGTTTTTTATTATATTACTTTTATCGCGATCCTGTAATTTAATTAAAGACAAAAATAAAACAACTAAAATTGAAATGTGGGATATTGATTACATCTTGTAGGATGTGGTACAAAGTCCCCAATTTGGGGACTGATGGTTACCCTCGAATCTACAGCTCCATTACACAGCACAACTAAAACCACTCTCGTTCCTGAGGCCTGAGCTGCTCTAAACACGTCAGATCACAGCAAACGTACCGGTGGAGAGGTAGTTGGGTTGGATGATAGGGTGGGCAAACGGGTCTCTACTCTTCAGTTTGAGCCACCCAACACTCGTGCTCCTCATGGGTCCAACATGAACCTACACACATCACAGAGAATGCATATAGCATGAAACAAGTGTGCATAAGAAAATGCGCCATGAGGGCAAAGACTGAAGCAGGACTCTCTCTTAATATCATCAGAGTGATGGAAGTCAACATCTACTTCCTCGGCTGTGGGTGAATTAAAGGGGTGTTCACACATGCAATGTCCAGTATTTGGTCACAATTAGAACATTATTTAAAATTTCCTAAACTGTTTCTTTCAACGTTCTGCTAACATTTTCACCCAAAATATAATGCTATTTTTTTTATATTCTAAGAATATTAACATGTCTAGTTTTCTTGTGCTTATGACATCATTTAAAGGTGACTAAAACAATTATTACGTTTTACTAGTTTTATTTCACATAACATCATTAGAACATTTAATTTGAATATTTTAAGAACATTTTCTCACCTTTATGGGAATGTTCATCAAGTAAAAATACCATCATGAGGACATTCCAAGAATGTTGTTCTTAGAACGTTTTCTCTCAGTGTTATGAGAACGTATATCAAATATTAATGAAGTTAAAAGATCGTTCCATAAACATTACTTTTAAGAACATTTTGTCATAACATTTAATGTTTAAAAAACATTAGTCCTGGTTTGTCTGTCGGCAAACATTGATGTATTAGAAATCACCAGCATTTTGAGGCAGTGTGATTCACTAATAATCTTGTTTATGATATAATTCACAACACACTACTGTCGTTTATGTACAAACACATTTCTCTGCAGAAGGTGAATGTTAGGTTACACCTGCTACACTAAAGATACAGCCATTTATTGGACCTGTGTGAACGCCCCTCTACATCATGTGACTCTTTAGGCTTGACAACAGAGAACACAGATAGTGTTTGATTAGCAAGAGTCACAACAGGCAGAATTATGTAGTCTTTAAAGTACTCCAACCTGGAAGGCCTCGATCTTGGATTTAACACGGCCGTGATCGATGACCTGAGAGGGCAGGAAATGGAACTGAATATCAGGATGAGGAACACCGGGACGACTACGAATGAACCCGCCGCTCTCCAGATGAGCCGTTGCACCGTAACCTGCAGCAAAACACAAGCGTCTTAATGTCTGGAAACGGTCCATGTTCTTGACATGCTTTGTGAGATGCACACAAATAACCAGAGCTCTCACAGAACGCTCAGATTCATTCATTACCTGTGAATCTGAGAAGCCATTCCAGGCCGATCTTCACCATGTGGAAGGGCTTCTGGGCTTTGTAGAGCGTGATGGGTTGAGTACAGCGATGCTGCACATATATCTCCAGATGATCCTGCAGATTACAGCCCACACCTGTGAACACACGACCACCATACCGTCACAAGCAGAGTCCACATTTGATGTTTTTGTAAAGATTTTTTGTTATCAGTTTTAATCCCAAATTCACTGGCAGCAGTCCCCCATTCCTACAGATCACTACTCATTTCAAATAAACAAGTCAAAACAAAACGCAGCTGCTGGGAGAACAGCAAGCTATGCCAATAAAAACAGGTTTGAGACCTCAGCTTGTATCTTTCTGATCTCCATGTGTCTAGTGAAAAAAGATAATGTTTGGTTTATTGTTGTATACCATTTTAAATTCTGTAGACTATAGACTTGGGCTAACATTAGTGTTCCTTGGAGCAGTTATTAGGCACACATTTTGCCATGGAGCCTACTGTAAATGTACCTTATGACTACTAACTTAAATTAGCAATTGAAAATGGTATTAAAAAAAAAACTGTTAAATAAAAAGTAAAAATGAAAAATAAGCTATTCTTTACAGCAGGGTTCCTCAAATCTTTCCCTGGAGGTCCAATGCGCTTCAGAGTTTAGCTCCAACCCTGATCAAACTTACTTACCTGTGATTTTCTAATGATCCTGAAGACATTGATTATTAACATGCTCAGGTGTATTTGATTAGGATTAGAGCTAAACTCTGCAGGAAAGTGGATCTCGTCGGCCAGATTGGAGGATCCCTGCTTTACAGGCTAAACTTTACAGGTGATTTGCAGTGAATTCTAGAATATCCAAGGTGAAGTACATAATGTTTGATGTTGAAATCTCCCCAGATTAATGCACACTATTAATGTGTGCATTTGTTTTTAATTTAGAAGTTTAAAAAAGACTTTTATCACTGACTAAATTGCTCTGGAAAAAGAAAGTGTTTTCTAAAGATTGACAAGAAATTATGACTGGAGTGACAAAGTGACCAAATAAGTGTATTGGGGTCGCTTCAACCTGCTGACTTAAAAAACATCCAGCGGCAATCGCAGATATGTGCGAAACTTTGGTATGAATGAGAAGTGGGAAATATGTACGATACTTGAATTAAGAAACTTTATAGAAGTATTAATAACATCTGGCAAGGATGTCCCCATGTGATAAATTGAAGCATCATGTTAATTTATGCATGAAGAAGAACCTTGCAGGGCGTGGCCAACGTCCGAACAGATTCAGTGCCTTTCCGCCCTTTTCGCCTTTGTGTTAAATCGTGCTCCAAGTTGCGCACACACGTTGCACCATCAAGCGATCGGGTCATCCAGAACTCAAATATTTAGTTGAAACTTCGTGACTGCCAGAGATCTTCAAAAGCCTAAAGTCTTGCAAACTCAGACTCTTTCAGAAGAACTGCCAAAGCCTCTGTGTCACCAGGAAACCCCATTCATCACCAAGCTCTCCCAAAGACGTCATCCAAACAACAGATCAGCAACCAATCAAAGGCGCTGGGATTTCCTGAAAAGCCAGCAACTGGAAAACTCAGCTCAGCTGTCACTGAAACGTGAGTAATAAACAAAATCTCTTCATCTCTTGCTGAACGGTTGCTGAACTGAGTAAGCCAAGTCTCTGCTTTTATGAGTTTTCTCAGGTTGAAGTTAAAATACTCGTAGAAAACAGTATTGGAACTTTGGGAACTTCCTCAGAATTCCGTTAAAATCCTCATCCTCTCAACCGTATGTGTGTGTGCTTTCATTCGTTTAGTTTAATGTAATCTAGAATAGCCAATAAACTTTTGTTTCATTTATAAAGAAGTACTGTCTTGTGTCGTGAATTTTAAAGTTAAAACTCTGCCCAGACCCAGTTACCTAGCTCGTATCTTATAAATGATCACAAGCATTTATTAGCCTTTGGCCAGGGATAGTACAAATATTCAAACTGGTAAGATATACTGATGTTAACATCTCGCTGGACGACCGTTGATAAAGTGTAAACTATACATTTTGGAATCAGTTCAATCAGGTTGATCTTGAATCTTCAGATTCGATTCCCCCTCTGAAAACCTGAGCTAAAATAAAAGAGTTGAAATTTTATTACATGCATGATGAGCTCACTGGGTCGTGGACGGTGGAACATCCTCGCGGAAGAGCAAGAGGCCCTAAGATGGAGGGAGCTGCTCTTCGGGAGATGGTGAAACGCACCACTCCCTCCCCCGAAGGAGGGCCGGGCGGAGAATCTTTTGTTTCTTTTTTCCCCACATTTTGGAATCAGTTCAATCAGGTTGATCTTGAATCTTCAGATTCGATTCCCCCTCTGAAAACCTGAGCTAAAATAAAAGAGTTGAATTTTTATTACATGCATGATGAGCTCACTGGGTCGTGGACGGTGGAACATCCTCGCGGAAGAGCAAGAGGCCCTAAGATGGAGGGAGCTGCTCTTCGGGAGATGGTGAAACGCACCACTCCCTCCCCCGAAGGAGGGCCGGGCGGAGAATCTTTTGTTTCTTTTTTCCCCACCACTGACTTCACGGTCAGTGGTACCCAAAACCTCGACAAAAGAGCAGTTTCTTCTATCTCTGGGTCCCCAGAGCGGACGGGGAGTTGTGGACAGGCCAGTCTCGGATCACACTCACCCTCCTCTCTTGCCAGTGAGAAGCTGTGTCATCTTCGAGTGCATCTGTCCCCAAGATTGGTTTGCAGCATTCGACCTGAAGGACACGTGATTTCATGTTTCGATCCTTCCATGCCACAGGCCATTCCTGCAGTTCGCGTTCAAAGGACGAGCATATCAGTACTAGGTCCTGCCCCTCGGGCTGTCCCTGTCGCCCCGTGTCTTCACAAAAGTTGCGGAGGCAGCCCTTGTTCCCCTGAGAGAGCGGGGCAACTACCTCGATTACTGGCTTATACTAGCTCAGTCTCAGGATCCTTTGTGCGAACACAGGGACTTGGTGCTCTCGCACCTCAGCCAGTTGGGCCTTCGGGTCAACTGGGAAAAGAGCAAACTCTCCCCGACGCAGAGGATCACTTTTCTTGGTATGGAGTTGGATTCGGTCGAACAGACAGCATGCCTCACGCAGGAACGTGCTCAGTCGGTGTTGAAGTGCCTGAATATGTTCAAGAGCAGAACGGTGGTCCCACTGAAACAGTTTTAGAGGCTCCTGGGGCATATGGCTGCGGCAGCGGCAGTCACGCCGCTGGGACTGCTTCAACACTGGCTTCACGGCCACAGTCCCAAGGTGGGCATGGCAACGCGGCACTTACCGGGTCCAAGTCACACAGGCCTGCCGCCAAACCTTCCCCCGTGGTCAGACCTTGCTTTTCTCTGGGCAGGAGTGTCCCTGGAACAGGTCTCCAGGCATGCTGTGGTTTACACGGGCGCTTTCGAGGCAAGCACGTGCTGGTCCGAAGTAGTGTTCGATCCAGATTTGAAATTCGACAAGCAGGTTAATACTGTGGTTAAGAGCTGTTTTTTCCAGATCTCTGTCTGGAAAAGTCTCTTGCTCGATTAAAACGTATTTTGTCGATGACAGATTTAGAAAAGGTTATTAATGCCTTTATATTGTCTCGTCTGGACTATTGTAATATTTTGTATGTGGGGTCCTGTCAGACCATTATTTCACGCTTACAACTAGTTCAGTATGCAGCAGCTAGGCTGCTTGTGAGTGCTAAGAAAAGTCAACACATCTCTCCTATCTTGGCCTCACTCAGATGGCTACCAGTGGGTTTCAGGATAAAATATAAGGTTCTGGGGTATGTGTTCAAGGCAGTGCATGGAATGGCTCCTGCTTATGTGTCTGAGCTGATTATTTTCCGACAGTCATCTAGGTCTTTAAGATCAACAAATAAGTTGTTTCTTACTGTCCCACGAACTCATTTAAAGCTGAAAGGGGATCAGGCCTTTGCTGTTGCAGGTCCAAGGCTTTGGAATAGCCTACCATCTGAGATTAGAGAGATTACATCCATAAATGTTTTTAAAGATGGGGTTAAAAATTATTTCTTGCCATTAGCTTTCAAGGAGTTGGGATAGTATCTGTGTTTTTATTTGGATTGTTTGTGTTTTATGTATTGTATGTACCTGTATGTTGACTGTACAGAACTTTGGTCTACAGGTGCAGTTGTAAAGCGCTTTATAAATAATAGGAATGAATGAATGAATGGTCCGCACGGACAACACTACGACCGATGCGTACATCAATCGACAAGGTGGTCTACGCTCCTGTCGCATGTCATCTGAGGTCGCTTTGTACATTCACATTCCGGTCCTGCTTGTGGCACCTTACTGGCCCAACCGGAACTGATGCTCCTTGTGACAGCCCCTCCTTGGCAGATTCCTCTGAGGAAGGATCTACTGACTCAGAGACGGGGCACCCTATGGCACCCGCATCCAGACCTCTGGAGGTTCTAGTTGACCTACCCCAGGAGGTAGTTGACACCATCGCTTCGGAGAGAGCACCGTCTTATGAGACATACTTACGCCTTGAAGTGGAATCTGTTCGTCGAATGGTGCTCTTCTCACCGAGAAGACCCCCGAAGATGCCCGATCAGAGTTGTGCTGTCCTTCTTGCAGCAAGTGTTGGACCGAAGGCGGTCTCCCTCCACCCTTAAAGTCTATGTGGCTGCTATTGCTGCCAAACACAACCCCGTGGAAGGAAAGTCGGTAGGGAAGCATGACCTGGTCATCAGGTTCCTTAGGGGGGCGAGAAGGTTGAATCCTCCCCAGCCCCCCTCTATACCCTCTTGGGACATGTCTCTAGTGCTCAAAGCACTACAGCAGGCCCCATTTGTGCCATTGCAGTCAGTTGAGTTGCAGTTTCTATCAATGAAGACTGAAGACTCTGCTCCTGCTTGCACTGGCCTCCCTCAAGAGGGTAGGGGACCTGCACGCATTCTCGGTCGACGAATCGTGCCTAGAGTTTGGGCCAGCTGATTCCCAGGTAATCCTGAGACCCCGGCCCGGCTATGTGCCCAAGGTTCCCACTACGCCCTTCAGGGATCAGGTGGTGAGCCTGCAAGCGCTGCCCCCGGAGGAGGCAGACCCAGTCCCTAGCTAATCATTTTGCAAATGATTGCAAAGATACTATTTAAACTGAACTGAGC